GTTAAGGATTTGTTGGATTTATGATTTTCTTTGGTCGATGAATCTATTTCTTCTAGTTTATCTTCTGCGCCTGAGATTCTCTCTTCCATCTCTTGAATTCTATTGGTTATGCTTGTGTCCGTGGTTTCCGATTTTTTGCCCAGCTTTTCAATTTCCAGCCTTCCTTCCGTTTGTGTTGCCTTTATTTTCTCAATTTCAGTTTTCAAGTCTTGAACCATTTCCTTCACCTGGTTAATTGTTTTTTCTTGGCTTTCTGTACTTTCCTTAAGGAATTTGTTCATTTCTTCCACTTTTTTGTTTGTTTTTTCCTCCATTTCTTTAAGGGATTTTCTCACATCTTCTTTGAGGGCCTCTATCATTTTTATGATGGTGATTTTTAAGTCGTACCCTTCTGCTTCTTCTGCTTTGTTGTTGTGTTCCATTCTAGTTGGTGTAGATCTTGTGGTGTCATGTTTGTCTTTCTGTTGTTAGGTGTTCTCTTGTATTGCCTTCTTCCCATAGTTTCTTCCAGTAGGTGTTGGTGTTGTCTCTTCCCTCTCTCTATGGTCCTTCCCCGATGGACTTATGTGGATCTGAGATTCAATATCTGTAGCTCTGTGTGGTCCAAGCTCTCTAGGAGGTTTCTCCGCAGACAGGGATCCGGGGATGGGTTCAAGGATGAGGATCCAGAAGAAGATGCCAGCAGGTACTCACAGTGGTCCTCTGGCTAATAGCTCTGGCCAATAGCTCTGGCCAATGACTGGCAGAGGAGGACGAGGGCTGAGCTTGAACTTGAGAAGAGACCCGCAGAGATAGGCGGATCTCTGGGAGGGGCCTGGGACTCCAGCAGAGGACTGGAGGCGGGGTCAGAGACCAAGCCGGTGGAAATTACAGGTGGTCCCGTGTGGATAGTCAGGTCTCCTTTCTTCGGAGTTGCTTGGCGAGGTCTCCGAAGTAGGGTGGACTGTTGGCTCCACCCTCTGTCCCATTGCTCAACCAGAGAGGCAGGACCGTAGGTGGGGTGGGGGGGGGTAGGCTGGAGGTTGGGATGGGTGGGGGTGTATCAGAGCTCCAAGGGTGCTCTTGATGGGGACCTGAGACAGGAGCAGCAGGATCAGGGGCCAATCCAGGGAGTTCAGGTCGGGGAGGGGGGAAAAGAGGTTGTAGGGGACAGGCAGCCCCAATTGGGCCCAGACTCACCTCTGGCCAATAGCCGGCGGAAGAGCAAGTTTTTCTTTCTTATATTTAAAGTCTTAAGTGTTTTCATGTGAAAATTTAGGGGTTTTTGTTTGTTTGCTTGTTTGTTTTTTTAACTTTAAAAAGTGTCACTGGTATTTTGATGGAGATTACATTTGTAAAATGCTTTTAGTAGAACAGCCATTTACGTAATATAGCCAATCTTCAACCTAGAAATTCTAATATTTTCACCAATACTGTCTTACATGTCTTAACATTTGCAGTGCAGGACTTTCTCATCTTTCTCATCTTCATTGGGTTTATTTTGAAGCAGTTTTATTTTTTGAAGATACTGTTAATTGTGTATATTTTTCTATGTTCCTCCTTGGAAAAATCCACTGGTGTATAGAAATGCTATTGATTTTTTTAAAAATACAGTATCCAGTAAATGTTTGCATAATTGTTTATTTTAGAGGAAGTTTTGCTGGTTTTTTCTCATTTAATCTTGTCTTTATTATGTTGAGATAAATCCTTTCTCTTTCTAGTTTCTTCAAGAATTTTATGATGAGGGCACTTTGTCAAATGCCTTTTCTCCTTGTTAGATTGCTCCATAATATATGAACTTAAGATTATTTCAGTGTTTTTAAATTACTTGGTTTGTAAATGATGACTTAACCTTTATTCCAACATAAAATAGTAATGGAATTTGATCTTATTAATGTGTTTCCCAGTTCAATATTCAAGTGTTTTATTGAACAATAACCTACAGTTTTTTATTGTAGTTGTGTGTCATCTAGTTTTGTTATCAGAAAAATTTAGTATCCAGAGTATTCTTTCCCCTTTTATGTAATAGTTTGAGAAGTGCTGATGTTAGATGTACCTTAAATGTTTGGTAAATATTTGACAATGAGTGTGTCTGAATTTTTTTTGGTGACAATTTTGGCTCCTTAGTGATGTTGATTCAGAAGTCATGTATTCTAGTGACTTAGTTTTAGATCATAAGTGCCTTTGAATTTATACATTTCTTATATATTCTTTAGCATTTGAACTATAAATATGCAAAGTATTCCATAATTATCCTCTGAATTTTATTAGAATCCATTATAAAAACTCAGGTTTTAACATTACTGTTATTAATGTGGGTCTTCTTTATTGTTTATTTAGTATTTTTCAATCTTAGTTCTCTAAAAAAGTCAATTATTTTTAACTTGTTTTATGTAATCTCATAGTTTCTATTTTATCAGCTTACTCTTTATTTTCAGTCTGGTATATTTGAGTCTTATTCTTTTTGTTTTTCAAGAATCTTGATGTGAATCAGTGGGGTGTTTCATTGGACATCTCTGATTTTTTTTTTTCAGTGTGTTTGCAGTGTTAATGTGCAAATTTGTGTGCAGATGTGTGTGTATACTTAAACTGTTTTATATGTGGGGGGAGGTACATAATGGGTGTTTTCTATCCATCTTATTTTTTAAGACATGATATTTCACTTAACCCATTAATATAGTGGCTGGCCAGAAATGCCTGGGGTTTGGCCTACTTTTTCCTATTCCTCTTGGAACTAGGCAACAGATCTATCACTCATACATATAAGCTTTACCTAGGTTTTATTGATCAAAAGTTTGGTTCAAAGGTTTGTGGGTAAGCACTTTGCCATATTGAGCCATTCCCAGCTCCTCTCTGATTTTTAAAATTCTTTTATTTTTAATTTTTACAATATAAGTTCTTATAACAATAATTTTTCCTCTAGAAACTGGTTTGTCTACATCACAGATGTGTTGTACTCAGTTGTGGTATCATTTTCACTTTATTCTAGACCCTGTTTAAATTTCCTTTATTTCTTTAATAACCTATGATTCATTTGAAAGTTTTATTAGTCTCTAAGTATGTTGTAGTTTCAATGCTTTTACTCTCTTTTTTAAACATAGGTTTTTATTTTTCATGTGTTAGTGTTTTACCTCATGTGCATTTATGCACCATGTGGTTGCTTGATACTCTTGGAAGTCAAAAGATCATTGGATTGCTTAGAACTGTGGATACAGTGGTTGTGAACCACCATTAGAGTGTTAGGAATCATCCCAGGGCCTCTGAAACAGGAACCAATGTATTATCTGCTCAGTTACTTCTGTAGCTCTTCTGTGCTTTCTCTTGCTGTTGATTTCTGATTTAATCTACTCATATTACTTTCACTAATGAGATACAAAGAATTACAGAATTACATCAACATTTTTTGTATTTGTTTACTCCTGATTTAATGATGATAATGTGATTAATTTTAGAGATGTGCAACAGACAATTGTAGATATCTGTTAAATTCAGTGTATGTGATAATTTAACCATGGTTCTGTACTGTTTTTTTCCCCATGTTTATTTAGATGACCTTTGTCTTTGTTTATTTAGAAGACCTATCAAAAGAGTTGACTACTCAAATTCCACCCAGTTACATCAGTCATAATCTTTTAAGTGTTTGTTTTCTGAATCTGGAAGCATCACAGTTTAGTACAATTTGTTGTATATTCTTGGTGAATTCTTTCCTTTAATAGTAAATAATGACTTCCTATCTTTCTTGAAAGTTTTGTTTGATGTCTACTTTATTAGGTTTCAAGATAGGTAATTATTTTCAGCAAGATACAAATTGCAACAGTGTAACAAGATACAGAATTGTCAGTAACAAGCAAAGAAAATTAACAATAGCATAAAATTCAGTGGTGTGTTTCTCATCAGTCTGTATATTTCTTCCTAATTCTGATTAGTTGAGGACTAAAGTCTTTATAGTCTTTTGACTCAAATTGCAATTCTGTTTCTGATATTTGGATGTAACTTTCCATGCAATGGACTTTAAGCCACTATTTCTGGGATGATGTTTGGCATATACCCCAGAAGGAGGAACTGGTTGGAGGAATTTGGTACTTCCAAGCAATGGATGGAGTCAAACAAGGTTCTAAGACTGATGTTCGCAGAAGCTAGGTCTCAGAGTGTGAACCAAGTTCATGCGAGGAGATGGGTGGAACTATAGTTGGGATGGTTGGTGGAGAGTTGGTGCAGTTCAGGAACCTCACCTAGGGATGGAAGAAGTCAAGGACTCCCAAGATGCACTCTCTACATCATCAAAATGTTTAGGAAGTGATGCAGGAGGTTAGTATGTTCCACGGATTGGTCAGGAGGTAGGTCCTGGCATAGAGGGGTGGATAGTCGGCTGAGTAGATCTGGAGTCTTTCTAGAGAACTGAGCAAGGGTCTGCAGCACAGATGAGTGGGGCTAGTAGGGATGGGTGACTTGGTATTGGAGAATTTAGGCTCCCTTAGTAGGGATATGGGCAAACAAAGTCACCTGTAGGTAGAGTTAGCTTTGCAAGTATAAGTTGGACTCATGGAAGACACCAGGTTAATTGTATGTCACTGAGTATTTTCCTTTACTTCTTTGTGAGTGAATCCCTGGCTAGCTTTGCTATATATCTGAGTATAACCTTGAATTTCTAATTATCCTGCCTCCATCTGAAGTCCTGAAATTTTAATGTGCATGTACATATTTTGTTTATATAGTACTTGGACTAAAACTAAGGCTTCATATACTCCAATACTAAGTAGCTATTCTGCTAACTGAGCTACATCTAGAGCCCCACTACTGAATTTTGTAAAAGAGGACTTCATTGTTTCTTTCCAGATATCTTGAGCATGACTCACTTTCAATACATTGTTATGATTATTATGTACTGTTGTGTTTTTCACCAAATAATATTCATGAGAGTTTTCATATTGTATGGTTAAGGAATTCAGAAACAATAGTTTAGAAACTTGATATGGGTATATGGAGGAACCAAAACCATACGCATTTGTTCTCTTTGTTAGATGGATTTATATGTTTGCCGAATATGCTCTCGTGGGGATGAAGATGATAGACTTCTGCTCTGTGATGGTTGTGATGATAATTACCACATCTTTTGCCTATTGCCACCCCTTTCTGAAGTCCCCAAGGGGGTATGGAGGTGCCCAAAGTGTATCTTGGCAGTAAGTGTTGTCCATCTTAGACATTTTATTTAACTTCTGGTTATTTTCTTTTTATATGTCCTTTTGGATTGAGGTGAGTTTAGAAGATTTTGATTAGTTGATGGTGAGCAAGAATAATGGGATAGAATAGCTGAAATATGGTAAAGATTTGAATTAGGTAGAGAATATGAAATTGACATACTGTGAAAATTAGTAAAAGGAAAGAAAAAGTTTCAGTAAATAGTGAAACTTGAAAATGTTGTTTAAAAATAGTTTTTAAAATAAAATACTAAATAAAGCCTTCCTTCCTTCCTTCAATTTTTGTCTTACCAAATTTTTCCTTTTCTTTTCAGGAGTGTAAGCGTCCCCCTGAAGCTTTTGGCTTTGAGCAGGCTACACAGGAGTATACTTTGCAGAGTTTTGGTGAGATGGCTGATTCCTTCAAGGCTGACTACTTCAACATGCCTGTACATGTATGTGACCTAGGGATTAATCTCTCCTAGTGTTAGAGCAGATTTCAGTGAGCCATGACTATCTGTTCACATCTTCTTATAGATGGTACCTACAGAAGTTGTTGAAAAGGAATTCTGGAGATTAGTGAGCAGCATTGAGGAGGATGTGACAGTTGAGTATGGAGCAGATATTCACTCTAAAGAATTTGGCAGTGGGTTTCCTGTAAACAATAGCAAATGGAACTTATCCCCTGAAGAAAAGGTAAAGTGTGTATTAATATCTACTAAAGTATGAGTAGGAAGAATCATGTTATCACTTACATTTTCTCTCCTTAGGTTCTTCCACAGAGTATTCTCATATGAAATTTAAAATTTCATAGATCTGTCACTGAAAGAATTTTCACAGCTACTGTTATTGTCACTTTTTCCTCCTGATGTTTCTAGAAAGTAAAATACTTTATCATTTAAGGAGTTGAAATATTAACCTTACCTTAAATGTAAATATTGAAACTTTGTCATTTTTTATCTGTATGATAAAAAACATTTTGTTTGTATCTATATTTTTATCATTTTATTGACCAAATTCTTTTCTCATACAATATGCCCTGATTATAGTTTCCCCTCCCTCTACTCCTTCCAGTTATTGCCCACATACCCTCCCCTCCAGATCTACTCTCTTTCTGTCTGCCATTATGAAAGAAAACACTTCTGAGAGATAACCTTATAGGACAAAATAAAATATAAGAAGTTAACACAAAAATAATCATGAAGGTTGGACAAGGCAACCCCAACAGGAGGAGAAGAGCCCAAGGAGCAGAAACAAGAGTCAGAGACTCTCTTGTCCACATATTCAGGGGTTCTATAAAAATAATGGCCTGAAATCTATGATAAATTAGTAGACAACCTGATGTAGACCTATGTACAACCGTGCTTGCTGCTTCAGGCTCTGTGAGTTTCTGTGCACTTAGTTAATTCAAAGGGCCTTGTTCACTTGGTGTCCCTGTACCTAATGCTCTTACATTCTTTCCACCTCCTCTTTTGCAGGATTCCCTGAGCCCTGAGGAGAGGGATTTAATGGAGACATACAGAGTTGTATGTTCCAAGGGATGTGTGTGTGTGTGTGTGTGTGTGTGTGTGTGTGTGTGTGTGTGTGTGTCTGGCTGCCAGTCTCTGACTATATTCATTCCCATGCTGGAAGAAGATTCTCTTTTATGGTTGAACAATGCACTGATCTACAAGTATAGCAGAATATGACTAGAAGTCTTTTTTTTTTTTTTTTTTTTTTTTTCCTTGTATAGATTTTTCTAAGTTTGTTTTGGTTTTGTTTTTATACTTTCAAATATCCTGGCTCCAAATCCCCAGTGTGTTGTCATCACTCATCCTCCACACATAGCCCCAGTCTCTCTTCTGAAAAGAGCAGGTCTTCCAGGGACATCAACCAAACATGGCATAATATACTATAATAAGACCAGGCACATACCATTACATCAAGGCTGGAGTAAACTATCCGGGAGGAAGAAAAGGCTCTATAATTTGGCAAAAAAAGTCAAAAACAACCCTTTTCTACTGTTGGCAACCTCACAAAAAGATCAAGTTACTCAGCTGTAACATAAATACAGAGGACCTAGGTCATACCCTACAGGTTCTCTTATCTCTGACCATGAGTCCTGGGCTGTGTTCTCATGGTGTCCCTACCCCTTTTAATTCTTCGGATCCTTTCTCTCCTCCTCCACAGAACTTCCTAGCTCCAACTAATGTTTGACTGTGTGATTGTGCCTATTCCTCTTGATGATCTCCTTAGTTCTTTGGTGAGGACTCTGCTAAGGCTTCAATCACAGAACACTCTGCAGGCAGGAAGTTTGTGATGGAGGTTCTGTGGCTTGTTTTGTTTCCCATTACCTCCACTCTACAGAAAATGGCTAGCTCAGACTCCACATCCCTCATTATTAGAAGCTTTTGCTAGGGTCACACTCATAGATTTCATGGATTTTCTGTAGCACTGGTTTTTAGTTCATCCCAAAGATGCCCCCCAATTCCAGTTGTTAAAAAACAAAATGTTAACCAGTAGTATTTAGTTTTATGTGAGATGTTTGGACTGTCTAGTCTTTGATTCTTGGTCACCCAAAGAGTGTTAGGAATGGGTTCTGTCTTGTGGACTGGACCTTTAGTCAAATTGGGTGTTTGTTGGCTACTCCAAGTTTGGCTACTCCACCATTGTCCTAGCATATTTTGCAGGTAGGATAGTATTGTTGATCAAAAGGTTTGTGACTGACATGGTGTTTCCCTTTCTCATTCGGTAGCCTCTAAAATACCTTCACATACCAAATACATTAGGATGTATAGATGAGTGTTCTATCTAGTAACCACCTTGGCCTCTCTGTGTATATTAAGTTGTGTGTGTGTGTTGCCTTAAGTACTGTGACTTGCTGTCACTTTATGAGGAAAGAAACCTGTAGTCCTGGCAAAATGTGTGATGTTTGGTCATTTCCTTGGTACCCCTTTGGCCAATGACTGAGTTAGATGTAAGCCAGTATCATTTGTGGTCATTATTTGGAGACTTCATTGGAATCAATGTATTTACTGATTTTGTGTGTCAGTTCGATACAAGATAATCATGTGAGAGGAGTGAACCTCAGTTGAGGAAATACCTCCATAAGATCCAACTGTATGGCATTTTCTCAATTAGTGATCAATGGGGGAGGTCATGATGGGTGGTGGCACCTGGGTTGATCCTGGTATGCCTTTTTTCTGGTACCATCGATTTTCCTGAATAATACTCCATTTTATAAATGTATCATCATATTTTCTTTACCAGTTCTTCTGTTGAGAGTTATCTAAGTTCTGAGAGCCATCTCCAGTGGTACACAGGTCCCAGCAGAGGATGTAAGGAGTTGACAAGGGAAGGAAGTGAGCCAGGCCATGATGTTTGGGAGAATCTTGCATCCTGACTGACTTACAACCAGAGTACTTCTGTATTTATACAGAATTTAGTAAGTAGGGATACATTCTTGTTGATACAAAACATAGATCATACCACTTTTGTTTTTAGACATGTAATTAATATTTTCTCTTATCTTTTAGTTATAGTTAATAAACAATGACAGAACAGAATTACAATTTGCAGCCCAGAAGATCTCATTACAGATGGTTGTGAACCACCGTGTGGTTGCTAGGTTGAACTCAGAACCTCTGGAAGAGCAGGCAGTGCTCTTAACCCCTGAGCCATCCATCTTTCCAGCCTAGTGACAGGCCCTTAATAAGAGTTGCGCAGCAATTTCCAGCAAGGGCAGTGAAGGGTCATTCCAGGTCATCCAAGCATTGTGATCTTTGCCAAGCTTCAGAATGCTTGGCATCACCATCTAGGCTGTTTTAAGTTTCTGGCTGATGTGAATAGAGTAACATTAAATATGGTTTGGCAAATGTCCTTGCTGCAAGATGAAGTGTCCTTTGGGTATAAGCCCAAGAGTGGTATAACTGGATTTGAGATAGATCAAGTCCCAACTTTTTGAGGGACTGCCACAGTGTATTCCATAGTGCCACTCCCACCACCTCTTTCTCCACATCCTCTCCAGCATGAGCTCTCACTTGTGTCATTGGTTTTAGCAATTTTGACAGGTGTAATCTCCAGTAGTGATGATTGTATCGTCATCTTGGGGTGATTTTTCCTTTACTGATTTTGTTGTGTTGTTTCCTATCTCTTTTAATTAGTTTTGCTTTTGATTAGTTTTTTTTTGTTGTTGTTGTTTTGTTTTTGTTTTTTGTTTTTGGTAGATATTGAAATGGTTACACCAGGTTGCTTCTTGTGTCCATTTGCTTGTAATATTATTTTTCAATCTTTTATCCTGAGGTAATGGTAATGTCTGTCCTTGATAGTAAGGTCTGCTTTTTTGATATAGCAAAAAGATGAATTCTGTTTTCACCTTCATTTTGTTATCTTGTGTCTTTTTATTGGGGAGTTGTTAATGTTGATGTTGAGAGACCAGTGATTGTTGATTCCTCTTCCTTTGTTTTTGTTATTTGTGGTGGTAATAATTAGTGATGTGTACTCCCCCCCCCCTTTTTTTTTTTTTTTTTATTGTGTTGGCTGTTGTATTTTCATGGTTAGGTTGGAGTTTTGCTTTGCTTTTAGCACATTCTGTAGGGCTGAATATATATATGTATGTATATATACATACATACATACATACATACATACATACATACATACACACACACACATACACACACACACACTTGGTTTTGTCATGGAATATCTTGTTTTGTCTGTGATGATTGAAAAGTTGGCAGGTTATAATAGTCTGGGCTGGTATCCATGGTCTTTTGGTATCCATGGTCTTTTAGTGTCTGCAGAACCTTCTGGCTTTCAGAGTTTCCATTAACAAGCCAGGTGTAATTTTGATATGGCTGTCTTTATAAGTTATTTGGTGTTTTTCCTGTGCAGCTTTTAACATCTTTTCTTCTGTAGGTTTAGTATTTTTATTTTTATGTGGCTAGGGGATTTTCTTTTCTGATGTAGTTTGTTTGGAGTTCTATAGACTTCCTTTGTAGGCTATAGGTTAGGAAAATTTCCTTGTATAGTTTTATTGTAAACTTTTTGTGGACCTTTCAGCTAGGTTTCAAGTTCTTTCTCTTTTCCTATTGACCTTAGATTTGGTTTTTCAATAGTGTTCCAGGATTCCTGGATGATTTGTTTTGTGAGTTATTTATCTTTTTCTTTGACTGATATACCTATTTCTGGATCTTCAATGCCTGAGATTCTTTATTTCATCTCTTATAGTCTGTTGCCTCTGTAGTTCCTGTGCACATTTTTAAACTTTTCATTTCCAGTACTCCCTTAGTTTGGGTTTTCTTTGTTGATTTTGTTTCCATTTTCAGGTCTTGAACAGTTATTTATTTCCTTCCATTGTTGTTTGTATTTCTTTTGGATTTTTTAAAAAGGATTTTTCATTTATTCTTTGAGGGCCTCTATCATATTCTTATACAGGCTAAGGTGTTTTCCCTGTGTTTCAGCTATATTCAGGGCCTGCTGTGGTAGACTAGTTGGGCTCTAGTGGTGACATACTGTGTCTGTTACTTATTATGTATTTAAGTTGGTGTCTAGGCAAATTGGATTGCAATGATTATAGGTCTAGGTGGTGACACCTCAGATGAGTATTTTATTTCTTGGTTTCTATTTCCTCTCTGGATTTTAAGACTCTGTGATAGTTGTGTGTTGTCTGAAGGAAATTGTCTATGGATCTGGTCATTGTAGTTAAAAATGTG